ATGTACATTGAGATATCATACTATCAGTTAGAATATTTAACTTAACACTTGCACTAGGGAGATAGTAATTTAATGTTACACAATAATTTAAAGTAACTGAACAATTAATCTGATCAACAATTAACAATGCAAAAAGAATTGATAATCATTCTGTCTACTCTGAAAATTTCACATTTTCTCCTGCCTCTCAAGATCTTTCTCACATATACATATATTGCATTTAATTATACACATCTGAATGTTATCCAAAGCCATTCATCAAAAAATTTAGCTTGTTCCTTTGTTTCAAGGAGAGGGGCGGTAAATCCCGTCCTTGTGGCATTTAATGTGTTTTGAGCCACAGAAACTTCCTTGTTTAGGCAGACAAGAGTATGTACCACAACATTCCCTTTTGAGGACTGTCGTTTCTTGTTATCCAGTAGCTGTAGAAACTGTAATGGTAATGTTATCTCAGTTTCCTTTCTTAAAAGCTAGAGTAAAGCCCTTGATTTCACCTTGCAAGATGAAGCTGAGGTAATATATCTCCCGCAGAGGTTGTGGCTTTCCTTCAACACACACCCACACGTACACAGACACATACCCAAGTACATTTGGCACAATTTATGCCAGGAGAGAATGAAAATCAGTCTAGTGTAAAAAATTCACATAGGTCTTGGTGTCCTGGCACGTAACCACCACACAGGGGATGCAGCTTTGATGCTACCTTCTCAGTTATTTCTCTTCCAGATATAGAAGTCCTGACATTTCTTTGGTATTTGTATGTGATTAAAATATACCCTAAATATAACTTAATTTCTATAAATAGCAAAGTGTGTTTCAAGGCCAATTAAAAATAAATCTGGCCTTTAGGAAATGTATAAACAACAAATACGTTAAAGCCGAAATAAACTTTACCTATTATCTTAAATATTTTCTTGGATGAAGGAGATATTTTTTCAATTGTGGAGCTTTTAATTTTATGTACTGACCTATAAAAAGCTTCAATCAACATTCCAGTAACCACTGAAAGATATTACGACAACTGCAGCAATCTAAAACCTGCCTTTGTCTTAATTTTGTTTCATATATAATTCTATTTATGGAACAAATCTAGTGCAAATGCTTCCTTTTGTTATTATACAAAACAAAAATCATATTCTGAAAGGAGACTTGTAGTAAATGAAGAGTAGCTAGTACTTGCACAAATACAGTAATGCTAAAACATTAAGAGGTTTTTAAGAAAAGATTGGACAACCATTTGTCTGAAATGGTATATAGAGTTTCCTGCTCGAGCAGAGGCTTTGACTAGAAAACCTCCAAGGTTCCTTCCAACTCTGTTATTCTATAACATGTAGTTTTGTGCTAAGAGGGTCTCCTTTTAGCTTTCTCTACTTCTATTCTATTCCGTCAGGCCGGGCTATCAACGTAATATTTTAAATTGGGGTATTTTAAATTTTCTGGGGTTTTAAATTGAGCCAAATTTATTTAATAATTTTAAATTTTTAATTGATGTTTGTCTTGTGTTTTTAAATAGGCTGTACACTGCCCTGAGTCCTTCGGGAGAAGGGCGGTATAGAAATAATAATAATAATTATTATTATTATTATTATTATTATTATTATTATTATTATTATTATTCGCCCTCCAAAGGGCCACAAAGCAGGCCCAAAGTTGTTTTTCCAAAGGCAACTGGATTTTGTTTTTTGTTGAAGATACTTCACTTCTCATCCAAGAAGCAATTCTGAAGAAGCTTCTTGGTTGAGAAGCGAAACGTCTTCAAGGAAAAACCAAGTCCAGTTGTCTTTGAAAAGGAACCTTTGGGACAACCATGATGACTGAGAATTCCCACAGACAGCCACAAGAAAGAGTTCTGAACTGTTCTGCTTTATTTGGATTACTTATAGCTGTGATGGCGAACCTATGGCATGTGTGCCACAGGTGACACGCAGAGCCATATCGGTGTGCACGCGAGCATTACCCTACCTCAGCTGCAGCGTGCATGCACACGCTGGCCAGCTGATTTTCGGGCCTTCCGGGCCCACTGGAAGTCTGAAAACAGGCTATTTCTGGTCTCTAAGGACCTCGGGGGTGGGGGTGGGGAAGGCCGTTTTCACCCTCCCTAAGCTCCTAGAAAGTCTCTGGAGCCTGGGAAGAGCAAAAAACGGGCCTACTGGGCCCATCGTGCCATCATGTGCCAAAAGCGGGGGAAGTGCGGGGGGGTCGTGCGCGCACGTGCAGGGAGCATTTATGAGTATGGGCATGTGCGTGCACGACCTTCTCACACTCCCCCACTTTTGGCACACGATGGTAAAAAGGTTAGCCATCACTGACCTATAGTTTCTTTATTAGCTGAATCCAGACAAACTATGTTTCATTTCATTTGTGATTGGTAAAAAAGGAACCATGCTTGTTTTTCAGTAATTATATTGAAGACTAAATCCAGCATAGGATTCAGATGAGACATTAGTTGAAATTTACTCAAAACAGAAGCTTTCATTCCATCACAGTTGCATAAAGGGGAAGAGGGATGTGAGGCTTGTAGTGCTATTTTTTACAGAATGTTTCCGTAAGGTGTTCTATAAGCACTTTAAGTAACAGTTTAAGCATTATAATAAAATAAATGTATGCTTATCATCTACAACCAATTAACAAGGCAGAAAGCTTTCAAATCTATTCATAGACTCAGAGGAGCAAATATGTTGCCCTGAATATTAATATAGATATTTGGGATTCTGGAATCAGTGGTGGGTTGCTACTGATTCGCTCCGGATTGGGCGAACTGGTAGCGGTGGCTGCGGGAGGCTCCACCCACCTGCCAGGATGTCTCTGCGCATGTGCAGTTGCTTCTGTGCATGCAAAGAAGCGTCGCATGCGCCCATGAGCAAATCGGTAGCGAATGAAATTGAAATCCACTACTGTCTGGAATCCTTAATATTTGAAGACTACCAGCTTGAGAGATTTTTATTTGACCTACAACCCCTCTTCCAGTGGTGAGGCTTTTATTTTTACTTTTAACAGCATTTAATCGGCCGAAGAGGTTGTAGAAAAAATGCTTTTAAAAATAAAAAAAAAAGCCTCTGATGATTGTGCAGCTCAGCTGGGCATGGGGGGGGGACAGGGATTTTTGCTACTGGTTCTCCGAACCACCCGCTGCCATCACTACTGGATCGGATGATCCGGTCCGAACCGGGAACATTTCATCCCTGCCCTCTTCCATGGGTGAAATCCAGCAGGTTCTGGAGAATGCAGAAATTTTGAGCAGTTTGGAGAACCAGTAGCGGAAATTTTGAGTAGTTCAGAGAACCAGCAAATACCACCTCTGGCTGGCCACAGAGTAGGGTGAGAATGGAGATTTTGCAATATCCTTCCCCCAGGAGTGGAGAGGGAATGGAGATTTTGCAGTATCCTTCCCCTGCCATGTCCACCAAGCCACACCACGCCCACCAAGCCACGCCCACAGAACCAGTAGTAAAAAAATTTGGATTTCGCCACTGCCTTCTTCATATCTCACTTGACAATGTCACTCAGACAAGGATCACCATCAAAGGCCTCAAGAGCCTAATCTTTAAATAAGACAGTAAATGAAGAGTAGCTACAACTTGTACAATTTACCAAGTACCTGGCAGGGAGCAAAGCTCTTTCTGATACGGAATTTATCTGGAAAATCTACAAGCACCCCAAAAGGATATTTTAACTTTACTCTTTTCAATTTTAGTCTGTTTTAACTGCTTCCTATCGGAATACAAGCATTTATCTGGTCTTCATGTTTTTAATTGCACACAGCCAAGAGTTGCTCTGTGAGTGAGATAGGTGGTCTCTAAATCTGATATATAATTAAACATTAAATAAATAAATAAATAAATAAAAATTCAGAATAATCCCATTCCTAGATAGTGTTTTTTTAAATACTCTATTTTGAACTAAATTGAGTTTTTGGATCATTTTAAAGACAGGCCCTGTAAATGATTTAGTTCCCATAAACACTTACAAAGTTTTCAGAGTGCTTTGAAAATGTGTTTAGTTGCTATCTATACTGCCTTCAGTTGTGATTCTTCTTTCTTTTTTGTTAGCCAGCAAAAGCACTGTAAGTTATTATGGTGGCCATTGGGATTGATTTTTGTTAATTGTAATCTATCTTCTTTTCTTTTTCTTTCTTTTCTTAATTATACACTACACAGAAGCTGCATGGGTTGAATGGGCAAGTATCAATTAATAAATAATAGTCCAAATGACTGCCTGCCTTTGTACATTATATGATCACCATCCTTTTCTTAAGATCTGTTTTCGAATGGAACTCAAAATAAAAATTTGTAACACCCCTCCTGCGTGAGCTGCACTGGCTCCCGTTGATCTTCCGAGTGTGATTCAAGGTGTTGGTCACCACCTTTAAAGCGCTCCATGGCTTAGGACCGGGATACATACGAGACCACCCCCTGCCATCAACAACCTCCCACCGGCCAATACGCTCCCATAGAGAGGGGCTCCTCAGGGTGCCGTCAGCCAAACAATGCCGACTGGCGACACCCAGGGGGAGAGCCTTCTCTGTGGGGCACCAGCCCTTTGGAATGAGCTGCCTTATAAGTACAAATTCTCATGTGTAGTTGAATATCAACAAAAAAACAGTTTTACTCACAAATATAAACAGGTACACAGTTAGTAAAAAAGAAAATGAATCCACAATGAGGCACATATCATTTAACTCTCTCCAGATGTGTGTATTTTTCAAACTCAAAAGACACAGTGGAGAGATGTGACTTGGCTGTACTAACCAAACTATGCAAGCATACATGTACGCACATGCTTTGTTAAAAACAAACATTTATTAAAAACATAGCCTGTAAAACTGAAAGCAGTCAACGCAACCCATGCTCTACCTGTATTGCCTTCGGGACAAATTTAAATTTTTAAAATTGATTTAAGTAAAAAAAAACAAAACTAGAATAATCCTGCATCCAACAGAATACAATTGTTTCATGCTATTGGCTCAGTTTGCGAGCTCCCTGTGTCTGTAAATGGATTACCTCTGCATCCTGCTCACGGAGGTGGTAAGTTTTCTGTAAGCATTCCAACGTTTTTGAACAGAATGTCCCCTTCTGCAGGAGACACTCCAGAAGTAAGACCAGCTGGTCCGGGGAAAGCTAAAAGAAAATAAATAGCTTGTGAGATAAAATTATAACCTTTTTGTAATTCAAATAAAAGAGGCCAGCCAATGACTAGTCTCAGATAACCTATGAAATTATACCATGTGCTTGTAATATATAGAAACAGTGTGTGATTGCATTATGAACACTATTGTGTCATTATTCTAAGAAACTCCTTTATCAAAATGAAATGAGAGGTTGTTCATTTGCCAAGATTTTCTATTCTATACTTAAGTAAGATTAAACCTATACTAATCTCAGTTAAGTGATAAACTTATTATCTGCTAACAAGCTTTGCGAAATATACCACCTAATTTAATTTTCATAGGAAATTATCAAAAGCACAAATTATACTGCATTACTTCCTGGAGATTTTAATACATATAGGGCTGAAGAACTGTAGCAAAGCAGAAATACAAATTTATCCAAATTTCTCTTTCAAAATTAAAATAGCAACAATATCATTTGCATGCACGCACACATCCCAATCGCCATATATCCATCCACCCCTTTTTAGTGCAATTCTAAGCATATTTATTCAGAGGTAAATTCCCTATGATCAGTGAGTTCAATTTTTAATTAAGAGTATAAATAATTCTAGATAACTGCATGAACAATAGAAGAAAATGAGGGGTTTAATTGCAGGGAAAATGAACAGGGAAAAATTACAAAACCACTATTGCAACAAGTCCTTAAGTGCTACATTTATTTTGGTTTTATTATATAGAAAAAATCATTGAAAATAAGGTGCATGTCAAAGGACAGGAAATGAACCATTTGAATGGGAAATTTGGTGTTCTAAAAAGCAGTAGGTGGTTTCTTATGTAGCCAATGTTTTCATTCCACAAAAAGAGAAAAAGATAATTCTGTGCATAAAAAATAAAATCATGATGGTGAAACTCTACTTACTCACAAATGAAAATCAACCTCTGATCCCTTTCCAGATCTTTGGGTGAAAGGACTTCTTGTGCCCCATTTACCATTGCAAGCAAAGAAAGAAAAATGACTTGGTAATCCAGTTTCTGAGTGGGTTACACTTGCAGATTAATTTACCCCATTCCAACTTCATAAAAAGACACTACATTTTAATGTCATCAACAGGATCAGATTTCATTTAAGAATAGAATCCTAGTCTAAAGTCATGTCTATATTATTCAGCACTGGAATAACCATCATCAATGCTCTCCAGATGTGCCAGGACTGTCATTCCCCCAGAATGTTTAGCTTGCAGTCCCAACTTCAAAAATGGGAAATCAGGACAGAACTATTCCAAAAGGAAGGACAGTTGGAGAAGACATACTGCAATTATCTGGATGTTTATGGTTGCTTGTAACATCTCTAAAAGTATGGATTACTGGTTTCTATAATCTCTAAGGATAGTTAAGCATGTAATAGGATTATATTACTATTATCCTTCTCATCTTTCCTATTACCTACTCCTATTGATATAAGTATCACTTTGTTGGTTGTATCTTATGAATTATGATTGTATCTTATGATTTATGGTTTATCCCTTTGTTGCTTGTATGTACAATGAGAGCTTATGCATCAGAGACAAATTCCTTGTGTGTCCAATCATACTTGGCTAATAAAGATATTGTAGTTCTGTTCTGTTGTTCTGTTCTGTTCTGTTCTGTTCTGTTCTATTCTATTCTTATTCTTATTCTATTCCATCCCATCCCATCCCATCCCATCCCATCCCATCCCATCAAAATAGAGTCATTTTAAAAGGTATCATATATTAAAACTAGACCTCTCAGCGGCTTTTGATACCATCGACCATGGTATCATGCTGCACCAGCTGGAAGGGTTGGGGGTGGGAGGCACCGTTTTACGGTGGTTCTCCTCCTTTCTCTCTGACCGGTCGCAGTCCGTGTTGACAGGGGGGCAGAGATCGACCCCGAGGCCCCTTATATGTGGGGTGCCGCAGGGATCGGTTCTCTCGCCCCTTCTGTTCAACATTTATGTAAAGCCGCTGGGCGAGATCATCCGTGGTTTCGGGGTGAAGTACCATCTGTACGCTGACGACACCCAGCTGTACATCTCCACCCCGGACCACCCCAACGATGCCCTTGAAGTGATGTCCCAGTGCCTGGAGGCCGTACGGATCTGGATGGGGAGAAACGGGCTCAGGCTCAACCCATCCAAGACCAAGTGGCTGTGGTTTCCGACGTCCCGATATAGTCAGCTGGCGCCATCGCTGGCTATTGGGGGCGAATCATTGGCCCCCACGGAAAGGGCTCATAACTTGGGCGTCCTCCTGGACTCACGGCTGTCTTTAGAAGAGCACTTGACGGCCGTGACCGGGAGGATTTTTCATCAGGTTCGCCTGATTCGCCAGTTGCGTCCCTTTCTAGATCGGGACTCGTTACGCACAGTCACTCATGCCCTCGTCACCTCTCGTCTGGACTATTGTAATGCTCTCTACATGGGGCTCCCCTTGAGGTGCACCCGGAGGCTCCAACTGGCGCAGAGTGCGGCCGCGCGGGTGGTTATGGGAGCAACATGGAGCTCCCATGTAACACCTCTCCTGCCGCGAGCTGCACTGGCTCCCGGTGGTCTTCCGGGTGCGCTTCAAGGTTCTGGTTACCACCTTTAAAGCGCTCCATGGCTTAGGACCTGGTTACTTACGGGACCGCCTACTACCATTAACAGCCTCCCACCGACCAGTACGCTCCCACAGAGAGGGGCTCCTCCAGGTGCCGTCGGCCAAACAATGTCGGCTGTCGGCCCCTAGGGGGAGAGCCTTCTCTGTGGGGGCACCGACGATTTTATTTATTTATTTATTTATTGAATTTCTATACCGCCCTACTCCCGAAGGACTCAGGGCGGTGTACAGCCATGAAATAAAACACATAAATATACAAAATTTAAAATCGAATAAAATGAATTAAATAAATTTGGCTGAATTAATACCCATAATTTAAAATACCCATAATTTTAAAATACATTAAAAATTTAAAATTTACACTTAAAAGGGAGAGGATTTAGGCGAGGCCCGCTTGATGAAATAAAAGCGTCTTCAACTCGCGGCGGAAGGTGCGCAGATCCGGGATCCTCCGTATCTCTGGGGGGAGCTCATTCCAGATCGTCGGTGCCCCCACAGAGAAGGCTCTCCCCCTAGGGGCCGACAGCCGACATTGTTTGGCCGATGGCACCTGGAGGAGCCCCTCTCTGTGGGAGCGTACTGGTCGGTGGGAGATCTGGAATGAGCTCCCCCCAGAGATACGGAGGATTTCCGGATCTGCGCACCTTCCGCCGCGAGTTGAAGACGCTTTTATTTCATCAAGCTGGCCTCGCCTAAATCTTCTCCCTTTTAAGTGTAAATTTTAAATTTTTAATGTATTTTAAAATATGGGTATCTTAAATTACGGGTACTAATTCAGCCAAATTTATTTAATTCATTTTATTCGATTTTAAATTTTGTATATCTATGTGTTTTATTTCATGGCTGTGCACCGCCCTGAGTCCTTCGGGAGTAGGGCGGTTAGAAATTCAATAAAATAAAATAAATAAATAAATAAAATAAAACTAGGAGGAAGGATAGTTTGCTTCTCTATTACTCTAGGATGGGGTATCAAACCTTGGCAATTCTGGAAGTTGACGTCCACAGATTTTAAAGTTGTCAAGGTTGGATGCCCCTGTTCTAGGATACCCTGCATTTCTTTTTGATTTGTTTCCATTTATGAGGTTCGTGCCATTAAAGTGAGAAGTCAATATGCAAATTTATTTTTTCAGTACTTAGACTATTCAAAGTTATTCCTCTTAATGCAACCTGTGACCTTACCATTTAATAAGGCATTACAAATTATAAAATCATAATGAAGCGAGGGTGTGCCCAAACTATAAAACAGAAGTTCTAAACCTTACAGTCATGTGCTGGGTAATTTACATTAAGATAGTTTATTTATTTATTATTAAATTTGTTTTCTGCCCATTTCACCATGAGGTAACTCTCAAAATAGTTCTCGCAAAAGCCTGAGTTTTAAAAAGTACCATAAGTGGGTACAAAATAATGCATTAGTGGTGAGCTTGACTTTTTGTATGGACTCTGTAAAGAAAAATGTAAACCACTATTTCAGCATAGGGCAGCTGTCTAACAGCACCAGCTATTTCAGCCTAAACTAAGCTTCATGCACTTGTGTACTACTTCCACTGACTTGCCGAGGCCACTGACCCTGGTTTGGCACTTGATGCAACTAGAAGCCATCATATATCATACAAAAGTGAGCCTGAATTCTAGCATTTGTGTGATTGTGCATCTAATATATTTCTACTTACATATATACTTAGCATATATTTTACAGAAGGTATCCATCTTGTATGTACTTAAAGCTGCAACTTAAGCACATTTACCTAAGCTCCAGCGAAGATTAGTGAAACGTATTAGCCAGTGGTGGGTTGCTCCCAGTTTGCACCGGTTCTATAGAACCGGAGTAAAACCGGCAGGAGGCTCCGCCCACCGACCCCGACGTCATCAAAATGCTTCTGCGCATGCGCGTGGCCCTGTTGCGAACCGGTAGTAAAGGTAAGTAGAACCCACCCTTAATATTAGCAGACTTGTGATAGAAACGGTTAACTTTTTTAGAAAAATGGGAACTTTGAATGTAAAGTCTAAATGTAGCAGTAAGAAAACAAACCCATTAGCAATCTCAAACACATACTCTAGATGTGCAGATTCCGACTGCAGAATGTTTATGATAGCAAGGGAAATATAAGACTTGAATTTACAAGTTTGAATCATATTCGGATTGAGGGATACAATTTTAAACAACTGTGCCTAACTTTCTGCTCAATTTCATATATAATACAATTGTTTCTGGGGATCTTTAAAATGAAATAGAGGGGTGCTTCTGGAAAATCATTGTCTACACTAAGTTCAAGTGTTGCATAATGTTATTTTATAAATATTTCTTCTTTCGCCATAGAAACTGCTGCCATTTACCAGAAACAGCACCGAAGACTTAAAAATTGACTTGTGGTTTCCTTTGAAATGT